CGCATTTAAAAAGAAAAGTTCATATAAACTCTTGTACTTGTACGTGCCCTTACTTTTCTGCTGCGGGCACGCAAAATTTATTTTCGATAAATTTTATTAATTTGTTAATCAAAACAATGTAGATATAATAAAAGAAACAAAATAATGTAGATATACATTCATGTATATTACCGGAATATTTGTTTTGAACATACTAGGTATATTCACCTGCACATATACACAATATGTACATACCTGGCATGTTCATCTGCACATATACCCAATATGTACATATATGTACATACCTAGGATATACTTTTTATGAACTTTGATGAATATACATGCATGTATACTCCAAGAACGTTCATGTTAGGAATGTTCAACCATGTATATTCCCAGGATATTCCCGCAATGTTCTGTATATTTTTTGAACATTCTGGGATATTCATAGAATATCAAATGCTATCTGGGTCATCAATGAACTTTTTCCACATCTTTTTTGTACACTAAAGATATTTGATGGGGACTCGTCAAAGTCCCACCAGAAAGGCAGATATTGCGGACCTCGAGTGCCTCTGCCCATTGACTCGACGGAAAACCAGCTCTACATGACTTTCAAATCCGACAATAACGTCCACAAAAAAGGATTCTCCGCCACTTACTATACAGTGAGTTTCTAGAAACTGGTTCCATCCACTGTTGCTTCAACTCTCATTCTCGTAGCTTTGCGGAGGAATTCTGCAGGCTTCGCAAGAAAAACGCCAAATCTACTCCCATCCCCTCTATGGGAATGCCTCATATGCAAGCATGAAGTCCTGCGATTGGTTCGTGATTGGAAATGACGGTTTCAACGTAAAATTGTCCTTCAAAGAGTTCGACTTGGAGCTGGAAGAGGACTGCAGTTATGACTACTTGGAAGTGTTTGATGGACTGGACAGTCAAGACAGCAGAAGCTTGGGGAGGTTCTGTGGCAATCAGGTATTTTCGATTAAATCCCATCAATTTCAAACTAATTCTATTGTCTTCAGACATCCACTGAACTCACGACCACCGAAGAAGGTGTAATTTTAAAATTCCGAACTGATGATCGGATAGTTGGACGAGGCTTCATTCTAGAATACGAACTAGTTGAAAGCATTGTTAGCCTAGAAGAGTATGATACACCGCTAGAATAGAGCTGAGTGCTGGAACTATGTAGCGATTTGTGATATTTTATGACACTGCTTGAGTTCTGACTTCAAAACAGTACTGCGAATCTTCAGGCTACTTATCTGGTTAAACAGAACATGTTTTGAGGAGTGCAACAGGCACAAGCCCGTTTCTCGAAGATCTGGATTAATTTATTTCCCTTCAAGTTGCCAGTGCTGTTTATAACACACTCCTCTTTGTAATATAGTTGTACATATAGCTTAAGAAATGCAGACGAATCCATGTATTAACATTAAAAGTCTTAGTCTGACTGTTTCAACCCATTAGACTTAAGTGTTGCAAATGCACTCTGTGATTGGAAGCACTTTTCAACTCCACTCATTCACTAGATAACGTTAAAACTTATAATTTGCTTGAGCGAAATAAACGCATCTTCTAACATCGCCTGCTTAAAATCAACTGAAGAAAAGCGATCGCTCAAAGTAGCTGTGTTGATTATTTAGCTATAACCAGATGGCGCAACATTAATACGAAGAATGAAAATTCGCAGCTGTTCAGAGTCGCCCTCTGGGCGCGTTGCACCACAAAAGCTCTAAATTATTTGATTTTAAAACGTTTAGATCAACTAAGAGAGCTGTTTGTTTCACATTTTTGCCTCCAAACAGTAAATCAGGTGGCAGCACAGTGTAAGTCTGAATTAATTCAAGGATTTAGCCAGTTTATCGATAAGAATTTTTATGAACGCCGCTTGCGTTGCCAGATTTAAAAAACGAAGTTAAAAGCACAATTAATGAAGCGAAATTCACATTTTGTGACGGTTGACGAGGAACCATGCAACGGTTTTTTTCATTTTTCAACTTTCTCCTAGTTTAGTTGCCTCAACTTTTATTTGGGGTAAATTGGGAGGGTTTTCAATAAATATTTAGTATGCATTTTGATTTTTATTTCGTTTATTCACCTGGCAGACTTTTGCATAGTTTGCGATTGATTTTATTGAAAAGCGCAGCAACCAAAAGTGAAGACAGAAAAATAACAAACCCCTAAATAGGTTAGAACAACATAAAACCTAAGGATTTGTTCTAGAACTGTGTGGCATCGCTGTTAATTATTATTACAGAAAAGTCCTCAAGTCTACTGCCAACTTCGAAGCTCACATACATGATCACATCCGTTATTTGGCGAAATTGTTGAATATGCACACGGAGAAAGTTGATTAATGTAATAATGTTGCCGGTTTCTGAATAGATAAGCCAACAATAAAGATCGCAAACTTATCTTGAAGACACTGTCGCAACAGAGTTTCTTTAAAGAGAAAATGCCCGTGGAAATTCGAAAACTGTCTCCTAATGAGAAAAGTGATAAAATTAACGCTGCGTTTTTCGGGATTTACAAGAAGGTTCCAGAATTTTACGTACGAGTGCCCGGCAGGTAAGTGAACACTTAACTGACTTTACGACTGTTTTCAAATCGAGGAATCCCCTAAAATCTAAACATTAAAATCGTCAATTGAGCTTTCGGTTGAGCTCTGGTTGTAAACTGAATAATTACGCAAAGAAATAGTTATATTTTCTTTATTGCAATGGAAAAAGTGCCAAAAATTCATGTTAAAATATTGTCTGATGACGATGTCTGATGATAAAATATTTTTGGGATTGTGGATATTGAAATTGAATTGTTTCTCTAGATTGAAAGTTCAACTTTGCCTTTAAAATCTCAGATTATTTCAAAGCAAAAATTGGCGAATTCATTTTTATTAATTTTTTATCTCAGTTTAGTGGATTTAAATCGATGTAAAAACAAAAGCTTGTTTTTTAAAATTGTAGACATTTTGCCATATTTATTTCGGCATCCTCAGGTCATCACGATAGCCCTGAGGATGCCTAAATAAATATGGCAAAACGTCGGCAATTTGAAAAAAGGGCCTCCTGTTTTAACACCGACCCAAATCCCGTTATACAAGCAAACTCACAACAAAATTTAAACAAAAAAATCAAACAACAGCAATTTCTCTGCACTTCAAACTTTGTAATTTTCGATTTGCACTTAATTTCCTTTTACTAAATCATGCACTTGAATTGCTTCAGGGTGAATTTAATTGGAGAACATATAGATTATTGCGGATATGGCGTCTGTCCAATGGCTCTTGAGCAAGACATGTTTCTAGCGGTTGCAACCACCAATGAGAAGAGACTAATATTGCACAACTTTGACCAGAAATATGAAGGCTTCGAGTGCGAACTAGACGAAGTCAAGTGAGTCCAATATTTGGAGTGAACACAAGCAAAATAATTTGAAAACAAGAGAAACTACAGACAAGATTCAAAAGAACATTTGTTTTACATTTTCTGAAGACGAAACGTATTTTTAAATAATGTTTAAAAGAAACGAAGCAAAATGTGTTTTCCTGGAAAGACTCCAGATCATCCTTACATCAAAGATCTAAAGAAAACTTGTTTTAGGTCTCCTAAGGTTCAAACTGTAAAGAGAAGACAATATTTAAACAATTTTATTCTAAAGGAGCGAATGCCAAAAGTAACATTGTCGCTTGTTAAGCACCTCAAACACATCGAACTCTCGAAAACACCGTGCAAATTTCCAGTCAGAACAGCAACATGAAAACAACTCAACCACTTAGCGCAATTAAATGTGTTGACTTAGATAGATTATTTGACGATAATTGATCCTTAGCACCAATCACTTTGCTTTTAAGTGTCCATCAAGGATGAATGCGAACTTTACAAACGGTGAAGCCCTGTACAAAATCTCTAGAATTCCATTTGTAGAATAACTTTAACCGACTCGGCTCCGAGATGGTACCAGTACTACCTTTGCGGCCTAAAAGGCATATTGGAATCGCTCAATGAGAGCCAGAAGAACCACATCAAAGGTCTTCAGGTGGTGGTGAGTGGTACCATTCCTCAGAGTGCTGGCCTATCCAGTAGCAGCGCTTTAGTCAGCTCAGCTGCGCTTTCTGCTGCTCATGCATTCAAAGTGAGTGTTTAGACCGCTGCTCAAGCAATGAAGCATATTGATGGTTTTAGCTATCGCTGCCCAAGGAAGAACTAGCCAATCTTTGCGCAGCATGCGAACGATACATCGGAACCCAAGGAGGAGGCATGGACCAAGCAATTGCCTATTTGGCCAAAGAAGGTAACTAGATAATAACTTGCATAGGAAACTAGATGAGTTTCAACTTGAGCAAAATCAAAGGCGCGTTATCAACTACCCAACTCCATTATAAAGTCTCCTAATCCAATTTGCGTTTCCTTTTGTACCGTTCAATCGAGTTAGCTAAATGATTTATGTGTGTAAAATTGGGGCAAGACACACTGCTATCGCTGAGGGTAACATGGTTACCCGTATTAACAGTCTGAATTCTCACTAATTGAAAAAACTTAGAATTTGAATAGAAGACTTAGAATTAATTGATTCTTCTTAGAATGGCCAGTCAAGTGAAGAGTGCACGAAAAAGCTGAAACTGGTTATTAAAATGTGGCTCATGAGTGTTTGGAGAGTTTCCCAATTAGTCGGTGGTTGATACTAAAGGAAACTCAATTCCGCCTGATGTACGGTAGAAACTATGCTAAATTAGAATAGCTTCCAAAACCATTAATTTAAAGGGCGCGAATCTCTGGGGTGTCACTCTTGAGTTACTTTGTGGCAGTAGAGGAATCCAGTGAATAATTATTTCTTTATTGGAAAACAAGAAGTAAATGGAAAAAATGGGATTTTTATGATGATTTAGGCGTTTGTAGCCTGATGCTCTTGGTTTTTGTTAAATGTTGCTGGGGTTTTTCGCGAGAATTTTTCGTCGCTTCTTGCCTATTAAATTATTGTTTAGTTTTACTTCACCTTGAAAAGTTTCCAATTGATTAGTTCTTCTGCGAATTAAAATTCGTTAGTTTAGATTCCTTTTAGCTCAAAAACGCAAAATTTTCCACAAGAAAATTTCCATTTTCATTCCAGGCTGTGCTAAGCTGATTGAATTCGAGCCACTGAGATCCACGGAAGTAAAGCTTCCTTCTGATGCTGTCTTCGTTATCGCCCACAGTTTGACCAACCTAAACAAAGCAGCAACTGGCGACTTTAACTGTAGAGTTGTTGAGTGTAGATTAGCAGCGCAGGTGAGCACCATGATTAACCCTCTAAATGATCTCCATATGGGTGTTGATGCAAACAACTTCTACTGTAGCTCATCGCTTTGAGACCACAAAAATTGTAAAACTGCAATGACATCAAACATTTGAAACTTACACATGAGGACACTTTGAACATCATCATTTGTCGGTTTTATTAGAATATTTACAACAAAATCGAGCGCCTGATGTAAAAAACCTGTTTAGTGAGGCCAAAAACGAAATTTTTAGCTAAACGAGGAAAACTTTGGCAATTTAAAAATCGTTCGACTCTTGAATGGGCAAAGTTAAGCTAAGACTGTTAACTCGAGCGTTTGGACAAATTAGTTTCATCATTTGGATGTAGAAAAAGCGTTTTTTGAGCTCGAAAAAGCGCGTTTGTCCACTGTTTATCCATCACTCTTTGTGATGTGTATATTAATATCAAATATACGAACATTGGAGAAAAAACAGCTATAAAAAAATTTGTGGAACAATTGCGTTCTTATCTTCAAATATTATTGAACTCAATTTAAAGTCTCGCTAAGATTGAAAATAAATATAACAAATCGACAAAAAATTTTAAAGAAAAATTAATACACTGGGGTATTTGTTTCAATATTGACTTTTTATAAAAAAATGTGAAAGAAAAAAATTACGCCGTATAACAATTGCGTTCTTTTTACCCTAAAATCTCGATAAGTTGGGAAAAATTTGCAAACTCCAGTTTTCTAAGGAGAGAAGTGACTAAACATTTCAAGACAGATCGCTTCAGTCCATCCGATTAAAGTTCAAATTCCTGAAAAAGCGATTGGCCAGTTTCAATCAGAACTCGTACAACCCTCAACTATTCTCCGATACTCCCTTCCATATGGAAGACCAAACGAGAAGGAAAATTCGAAAAAAAGCAGTTCAATGCTCGAAAATAACCTTTACCTTGGATGCTGCACCCATATTTCACTTGAAATAATAAATCATTAAAGCAGAAAAAATATTCGTCGAGGGTAAGAAAGCCTTGAATTTATGTGGGCCTTGAACACTCTTTGAGATCAGGGGCACATCAAAATTATTACCCTCGACACAGCAGGGCTATTAATTGTGCCCTTTTGTTTGAATTTTTTGTGTGCCTGAAACGCGTGAAAATTTCCAGATAATTGCAAAGAAACAAGAACTGGACTGGAGGAAAATGAAGCGTCTAGGCGACCTGCAACGGGCGTTGGGCCTAAATCTGGATGAAATGATAGTCCTGGTCAAAGCGAGTCTAAGGGAAATGCCATATAGTAAAGACGATGTTATCCAGGAGTTAAATACTACTTCCAGTCTGCTGGATACGGTGTCGCTGACTCCGAATACGCGTGATATACAGCGCTTTAAGTTATACCAGAGAGCCCTGCATGTGTTTAATGGTATGTATGCTTGTGGATGGAAACGGTTAAATTTCAACAAGAAAATCTGGCAAGTTCTATAAAACGAACGCTCCTATACATTGAACCGGGAAATGCTCAGTCAAAACAGGAAGTAATACCCCATTTGGAAACTAGGTACTCGCATCTTGGCGCTCAAAAATAGAGGAAACTTATCCCTGTATTGCCCTCAAAACAAAACGGCTTATTTAACGATCGACTACATCACGATTTTTCCATAAAATGCATTTTGAAGCGGGAAAAAGGATTTTTCTTTAGTGGAGCGGCAGTTGAAAAAACCCAATTCTTTTCCCTTTGGTTTTTTTAGAATTTAGTTCCTCACCATGTGTTCACTTGAGCAGAGCACTCCTAGCAATTTGCCCATACAAACTGTGTTTAACCGTTCAACCTCCCACGGCAAATTAGCAAACCGAAATCTCATAAAACGTTAGTGGCTGTTAGAAGCGGAATCAAGGGCCAGATTAAGAAAAAACGCGAAATCTAAATTCCCCTCGACTAAATCAGCAGGAAAAACCGGGACTGCAGATAAACGTATTTACTCGAAATTTCCAATGTTTTAACCAGGTAGTTTGCATTCTTATGGAACGCTGAATGCAAATTCGGAGTCTGTGGGTCGTTTATTGCAGCAGATAATTTCAATGGCGCACATCTGCAGCATGCCAAAGCAAACAGGCCTCGTGGCACAATTTCCAGAATAACGCACAAAGAATACTCGCAAAATATTTGCATTTTTCCAATTAATAAACTAGAGTTTGCAAATTTGCAGAGGCCAAGCGAGTTGAGGAATTCTTCAACACCTGCCAGACTGGCTCTGGAGGCGAAGCCACTTTGATCACTCTAGGAAGACTTATGAGCGAAAGCCACCAAAGTCTTCGCGATTTGTATGAATGTAGTCATCCTCAATTGGACCGGTAAGTTTTAACGAAACATTGCAAATCAGCAAATAAAAAACACCCAGTGAAATAAAAATCTTGGACGACGAAACAGTTCGACAACCCGTAAGATTCCAGAATTCACCGCAATTTTCCTCTTGAGCATATTTAAATCAAAGTGCTCGACCTTTTGAATTCGCATGGTTATTTGCTGCAAAATTGTATTACGTTTGCCCATTTTGCGCGTTTAGAGCGCGAAGAATTCTCGACATATTTTTTTTTAAACAAACACAAAAGGTGCTGAACGGAACTTTACGTTTTTCTCGCTTGATCCGATTAAGCCGAGTAGAAAAACGAAAAATCCGACGAATTTCGTGTATTCACTATCGAGTCCGTTCGTCTCTTTAATCTCGTTAATACAACTCGGATTTTTAACCCGAGAAATGGTGGATTGTTTTCCGATTTCCGAAAGACTAAGCAGACAAGTGCAAAGTTGTAGATAAGTTCTATATTGTTGAGGCGGATTCATTTTTTCACAAACTGTTTGTTGGGTATTTCGCCTCAAAAATTCTGAATTCTGTCTATTTTAAAGACAACATTTTTCGATGCGAAATACCCAACAAGCAGTTTGTGAAGACAATTGCAAGCATTTTACCAAATGTTTCTGTTGTAGCTGCGCTATTTAGCTCGCGTTTATTCCCATTTTAAACACTTTGTCTTCAAGACTGACGTCTTCTGATCGTAAATAATCAACTTAACAATTTTAGAGTCTTCCCTATAAACAAATAGTTTACTAGTTAGTATCAAACTCTCAGGCACCTTGAAACACCGCTCTTAAATATTCCCTTCAAGCGTCTTAATTATTTCGGATTCTCTCTTCACCAAAAGGAAAATCCCGGCCCTAATAATGGTCTCTATAATGTGTCCTTCGAGATTCGACAACGACAAAGCCGAGATCCTTCCTTTTAATGTTCCAACTATATTAAGAATTTCGTAATACAGAATAAGAGCCTTACGAAGAAGAGAATTACAGGAAAAGTGTGCTACTGTTTAATATTCAGACCAATTTACTAATATAAGAACGACTGAGGGAGGATGAAGTTACTACCTGCTGCCAAATTATGGAATTTTCTGCCAAGCTGAGGGCATTACTTCTGGAGGGTTATGAAGAAAAAATACAGTCTTCTGTTGTCTATGAAATTATAAAAATTATCGTCGTTTTGTGCAAGGGTGGCGTAAGATTATTGCAAAATTTCATGTTTT